AGGAGGAAACTAGGGTTTTCTTCAATTTGGGTTTTGATGGGCTGCTCAATATTGGGCTGGGCTTATGTGAGTTTATTTTAGTAAATTTCATCCTCAGCTTTTTAATTTTTTCAATTGAGTCCTTTTCTTGTTTTTTTTCTTCAATTTCTCCTCGAAATTTTTCATAAATTTTTTTTATAACGATAAATCCGAAACGGTACGCGAAAAATTCCGGTATCCGGTACGTACCGTTCCAGTAACAAAACCGGTACACATGCCGGTACGGTATTGACTACTTTGGTATGGAGTACAACGTGAAGGAAGAAGATTTTGAGTGGCTCCGAGATTGCTATGTCGGAATAGCTCACTTTGTTGAAACAGTTCCGATCCTCCAGGAAAGATTTTACATGGAAGGTTACTTCACATGTCAGATAAGGGCTATGGGAGGCAAAATGGTATTACTGGATTGTGAAGATAAGGAGGAGCTAAAAGAATTGGTACAGGGTGCAGCAAGTTGGTTAAGTCAGTGGTTCGCAGAAGTCAAGCCATGGTCTCCAACAACAGTAGCAAAGGAAAGGTTTGTTTGGTTAAGATGCCTGGGGGCTCCATTGCATGCGTGGGGGCCAGAGTTCTTCGAGTCTATGGTGACGGCATGGGGGAAATTTATCAGCCTCGATGACAATACAAGCAGGAAAAGAAGATTTGATGTTGCTCGGATCCTTATTTCCACGTCAATTATGGAATCAATATCAGTTAAAAGGCAGATTAAAGTGAATGGAGTCCTCTACAATCTCAAGTTCTCGGAAGAAGAAGTGGCTAACGGCCTTTTTTCCATGAAATATGATTTCCTGCCAAGCTTCAAGAGTGACACTGAATATGAAGAATCCTGGTCGGAAGGCTTTGTTATTGAGGAAGAACCAGGAGAGAACGGTCGAGAAGATAACAGGGCTTCTAGTGACGGCAATGGGGACACTGTAGGGGATCTACCGGACCTGAACCGGAAGAACAAACGGGTGAATGCCATTCCGGATACCGAGGCACATTTTGAATTTGAAGGAGATTTGCATGATGATATCTGTCAGAAAAAGAAGAATATGATCGGTTACAGCTGGATGGGTGAAGAGGAGTCAGTTGAAGTGGTTGCAGATAGCCTCGAGGAATGCTTAGCAGGTAGTGACGTGGGAAGCAGAGAGGAAGAGGAAACACCAGCTGTTGAGTCTCAAAATCGGGTTAGCTCTGACCCAATTGAAGTCTCAAAAGATGGTTCAAGGTCCGAATGGGCTAAGCCCAATAAATACCACCCAGCCCACTCCCATCAAATAGGTGGAGGCCTTATTGAGGTGAATCGGGATTGTGAGGCCACCGGTAGCAGTAAGCATAACCAGCTGGAGGCACAACAGGGGATTAGCTCTCACGGACAGAATTTAATAGCCAAAAAAGGTAAAGAGAAAGAGGGATTGCTACGGGATGGGAGCAGATCTGCTTCGATTGATCTAGAAGGTGCAGAAGGGAGTGCTGGGGAGGGGAGGGATCTGATCGGAAAGGAAGGAATGGCATCAAGAAGCAAACCGGATAGGATAAAGAAAAAGAAGAAGGCGCTATTGTGTAGATCAGTGTACCAAAAAGCTAGCATCCTGGGATTAATGAGCCATAAGAAGAAATCTAAGAGCAGAGCAAGATCCAAGAAAGTTACAAGACAGGAGATGCCGAGCTTCATGCCGAATCCAAGCTACTCTGTGGCGGGAGGGTCGGTTGGCGATAGCGGGATTGAAAATTGCAACAGGATGTTAAAGGAGCATTCTAGCCGGAGAATAGCAGCAGAGCTTTGGGACTTCGCGAAGCAAATCGGGGTTACTGCAGAGGATGAGGTTGAGACTCTCAAGAACCTTGAAGAAATGGAGAATCGAGACAGAGAAGCCAAGGATTTAGAGATCCCAAAGTCAGTGAGTAAGGATCCGAAGGTTAGTATTATTGAGTTATGAATGTCTTAGCTTATAACATTAGAGGAATGGGTGGGGTAGGGAAGAAAAGACACTTGAGGGAGTTAGTCAAGAAGGAAAAGGCGGATTTCCTAGCAGTACAAGAAACTAAATTGGGAGGGATAGACAATAAAATTAGCAGATCAGTGTGGGGCACAGATGATGTGGAATGGGTAGCAAAGGATGCGGTGGGTATGTCGAGTGGATTAGCTTGTTTTTGGAATTCCAAAGTAATTAAAGCCACAAGAATTCTGGAGGGGGAGAACTTTATAGGTATAGAAGGATTGTGGTGCCCTGATAATGAACAAATTATTTTGATAAATGTTTACTCTCCTTGTCAGCTACCTGGTAAGAGAGTTCTTTGGACAGAGCTAAGAAGTCTAATTGAGAATGGGGGAGAAAAAATTTGCATTATGGGTGACTTTAACACTGTTAGAAAGGCAGAGGAAAGAAAGGGGAGCTCAGGCGTGACCAGAGATATGAGAGAATTCGACAATTTTATACAGGCCATGAAGTTGGTTGACATCCCGTTAGTGGGTAGGAAGTTCACTTGGTATCAAGCAAGAGGCAACTATATGAGCAGAATTGACCGGTTCTTACTCTCAGAAGGGTGGCTGTCGAAGTGGGGAGAGGCCAGGCAATGGGGCTTGAGAAGATCTATGTCTGATCACTGTCCGATTTTACTAAAACATCAGACCATTGAGTGGGGCCCAAAGCCATTCAGATTCTTCGATTCTTGGCTAGAACAAGAAGGATGTAGTAAGTTGATTAAAGAAGTGTGGAATGACACCCAAATTCAAGGGTGGGCAGGCTTCCGTCTCAAAGAAAAGTTGAAGACAACCAAGGAAGCGTTAAGGAAGTGGAGCAAAAATCTAATTCCAACATTGGATATTAGAATAAATAATGCTACTTCCGACATCGCCAAAATTGATATGAAGGGGGAAGTGGCACATCTGTCAGAGGAAGAAATTGAGAGGAGAAGAGAAGCGTTCATTCAGATTTGGGAGAGTCTGAAAAGCAAGGAGAGCATGATGCAACAGAAATCAAGGAAAGTTTGGGTGGCTCAGGGGGACGCCAATACCAGGTTCTTTCACAACTGCGTGAAGGGCAGATGGAGAAGGTCAGAAATGAATAGCATACAAATAAAAGGGGTTCAAACCAGGGATGTCAACAAAATGAAAGAGGAAATTGCTTGTTATTTTGAGGATTTGTATGCTGAGGAGAAGAGGGTTAGACCAAGGCTCGATGGGTTGGGTTTCAAGCAACTTACATGGGAAGATAATGACACCCTTATTTCTCCCTTCAGTGAGGATGAGATAAAGGTAGCAGTAGGAGAATGTGACAGTTCGAAGGCCCCAGGTCCTGACGGATTCAATTTCAGGTTTGTCAAAT